TGGTGTTCTCTGCTTCTACGAGGCCAATTACAAAAGCCGGGAGTCAGCATTTCAGAGGTCAGATTCGATGTGAGCTGTTCAGAACATCGCAGGTTAGGCCTGGCAGCGAGCCCACAAGGGCAGGGAAAGGACGCCACGCAGCCTGTGACCAGGACAGGGGGTGGCCACTGGAACACACGAGGGCCAAGCAGCCGACAGAGACCGAAGCTGCAGCCGAGGCGCCTGAGGCGCTTTCCCAGGAGCAGTGTGGCCCTGCCCTCTGGCGGCTCCCCTTGCTGATGAGCCCAGGTACCCTGTGCCGCAGACCTCTCCTATCACCCCACGGCCAGGCACATCACCTCAGCGCCTCCAAGGCAGCTGAGACTGCTGTGTTCACTTCCTCCCGCTTCTAAGTGCTTCTCGGGGAACCTCCTCACACCCAGCTGCCTCCTGAGACGGCAGGACCCTCCTGGGAGACAGCGCTGGACAGGCTGGAGTCAAGGTGTCCAGGGACAGGCTCGGTGCCAGGGCCCAGGGCTGAGTCAGGAGCCAAGGCCTCGGGGCGAGCCCAGACCCTGAATGCAGGTGAATCACAGGAGGCAAATGTATCCTCAGGTGACAGAGTAAGATGAAAGTCAGGGGAAGGGGCCGACTACAAACCCAAAGCTGGGGAAATCTGGAAGGAAGATTCAAGATAAGACCCAAAGTTTGGAAAGAGGCAAGAGGAAGTAGTAACGCTGCTATGAAGAAGGCTGAGGTATCTGAATCTTACTGGGCACAGGCCACGTGGTCCTCGGAAAGGAGGACCTGGACCAGGAACGGGATCAGGATGACTGGACAAGTCCCCAGCACGTGGCAATAGGACGACAACAGCCAGGGTTTCATTACCTGTCCATACTGGGTGAGGGTGCTGTCAGCGCCTTTCAGTGGCTGGCTGTATTCCGGCAAATGACCTCACAGAGACGTAACATGAAGGTGGCCACATCTACGTCGTGGTTTTCTGAAGACCAGCATTGAAATAAGCGGAGTCTGTCTGTCCCACAGTGTCTGGCAGGTGGGGGGTGCCTGTGTGCTGTCAGTGTCACTGGTGTAGTGGGGAGCTCGCATGGCCGACCTTAGCCTGCTTTCCAAGTGCCCCTTCATCCAGTTCCCTCCCGAGGGCAGACTTTTCGGCTACATCAACCCAATATCCAGGATTTCTTGGTAGACTCCTGATTACAAACACTCGGCCCCACTGTCCCATAAGTAAACACATCTGCCCAGGTTTTCTGACTGTTTAGAAAACACCATGTTTTTATCAAGGAGCTCAGAGGACTCTCAGTCTGGGGGCTTTGTGCAGTAGGGGTCCTCGGGGCCTCTAGGACGCTGCTGGTGTAGACAATGCGACACCATTTTGACTTAAGTACTTGAAAGAGGGTGCATGAGAAATTGATAAAATGATAAATGAGCCTAGATTTTAAAATAAGGTAAAGAAACATAAGCCCTGACACAAGTTTTCCCTGAATAATAACTTTCTGTTTTGCTTCTGTCCTGTCTCAGTGTTGGACAATGGTGTCCTTCTCGCCAGCCCAATCCCGCACACCCACCACCTCACCAAACCTGGGTCCCATCCCTTCTCCGCTGTCTTCCGGGGCTTTGCTTCAGCTATCTGCCTTTCCCTTGGATCTGCAATCTCATTCTATCCATCACTTGGTCCTGACCCTACAAATTTACTCAAGCTCCCACAACCCTTGGGGTTAATTTAAAAAAAGAAAGAAAAAAAGCTCAGCCGCCTTTGATTTTGCCCTTGTCACCTCTCCCTCCTTCCTTCTGACTCTAGAAAGACAGTCAGAGACGAGAAAATGCACCAGCACCAAAGGCAGTGAGGCCAGAGCTGGGAGAGCTGGCTGGGCGTAGGGGCCAGCCCTGGGCCAGCATATCCTGGTGACAGCAACTTGGGCGACTGGGGTCACCCACCCTGCTTCCCCCAGCCCTAGTCCACTCCCCACATGGGCAGAGGCAGCCGAGGTGTGGGGCCCGGGCCGGAAAAGGGGGACAATGAGAGATGAGCAGACCCATTCGCCCTGTTGAGAAGGGATTCGTGCATTTACACATGTCCCCCTGAGACAGCACCACGCTGTTCCCTAGCCATCTAGTCATAGATTTATTCGGCACGGGCTTCTGAGCCCCTCAAGTCTGCCAAGGCCAGTGCTAGGACCTGGGGCTGTAGAAATGAAAGGCGTGATGCTGAGATGGAGGGGCCGTGGTCCCTGTAGGGGACAGGGACACGTGCAGCAGAAGTGCCATCCTGCGGGGAGCACGGGGGCACTGAACCCAGGCTCCACAGCTGAGACGCGGAGGGTCAGCCAGGAGAAGGAGGCACAGAAAGGGAGAGAGGAAAACCCAAGGGAGGCCGAGTGAAGGGCGTTTACGAAAGCCGGGGGGCACACCGTGGCCCTTCCAAGTGTTCCTTCTCACGCCCCGCCTTCCCGCTCCAGAGTCATCACTCCACGCCTGGCGGGGCCACGCGTCCTCCTTGCTATGATCAGTGTTTCATTACAGCTTAATCTTCTCAGAGCCCTGGGTTACGCTAACTCTAACACAGAAAGCAAAGGTTAATAAGCTCAGACACAATAATTGCTCAAATATCTCTCCACACGCACAATGTCACGCTACAGCCACGAGAACTGACTGTGACAGGTGCATGCTGAGGCCACCAGAACACAGAGTGAGCGGCCCAGTGTCATGGAAACCGATTAGAATGATTGCATTAGTTGAAAACGGAAGGCAAATTGTAAGGTCCTTTAAAAAGAGATAAAGAAGTCACCACTCTCTGATGAACACAAGTCACCTGTGAAGAAAAGACGAAAGATCTTGAAATGAAAAAAAATAAACAAACAAAAAAACAAAAACAAACAACAACAACAACAACAACAAAAATATATATATATATATATATCTATCATCATTAGGAATCAGTAAATCTTAAAACGGGACATCTGATTTACCATTTTCAAAAGGAAAGTAAAAATTTTTTTAAAGATTTTATTAGGGAATTGGGGGAGGGGAACAGCGCTGGGAAATCGGGGAAGGGGAACAGACACGTTGCTGTCCTTTTGTTCTTCAGTCTAGTTGTGGAGGACGTTGCTTCACTGGCCCAAGTTGGCACCATCATTGTGCTCTTCCCGGGTGAGGCAGATCGGTCACCGGCCATTGGATGGCCGCTCACGGGGGCTCACAGCAGCCCACTGCAGCCTATGCCATCGACTCACGGCAGCCCAGCTCCAGGTCGAGCTGTTGTTCACCATCTTAGCTGTAGAGGGCAGTGTCACTGGTCCTCATATGTGACATCTGAACACGAGGCCCTGCTGCTCAGAGCTCACGCTCCCAAGTGAACTCTTAACCAACGAGCCACTCGGCCGGCCCAAGAAAATAATTTTTAAAGTACAGGACTTGAGAGGTGCCGAGATACAACCTACAGCTATGACAACAGGGAGAAATCTGATAAAATTTCTCACGATAACCAAATGAGCTGAAGAGTATACTTGCCAAGCCACCTAGAATGTGTCCCGAAATGAAACGTAAGAGATGACGTTCGTATCAGTCTACTTAAAGCACTGCATTGGGAACCGTGATGAGTAGGGATTCCTCAGTGGTCAAGATGTCCTAAGTTTCTTCCCAATACTTTCGCACACAGTAAATCCAATTAATGCAAAACCTATTCTGTCTAGTCCCTTCGTGTTCTAAGTTAATGAGATTTTCATGCAGTCTATCCGGTAACAGCTTCATGTCCCTTCTTCATTTCCTCAGGTGCTCACAGCCAAAGGGGCTTTCAGCAAGAAAAAAAACACAGAAAATACTCCTTGTTTTTCATAAAATGTTAAACCCACACATCCAAACCTCAAAGCCAAGGACAAAGTACGGAGTCAACAAGTGTGTCATTCTTAGTGAAACTAGTTTAACAAACCTACGTTGGTCTCCACTGCACCCGTGTATGGGGCCAGCCCTCACCGCCTTCCAGAACATGTGTGGTTGCGAGGCTCTGGCCTGTCAGCTCCCCGTCCCCAGCCTGTGACGCACTCACTGTGGCCCAGGGTGCCCCGTGGGCAGCATGTACCCACTGGTCCTGGCCCCTCGTGAAGTCCGTCTTCAGCAGCGAGGTGCAAAATGTTTCACATGGTTTGCAGAGGCTTCGGGAATCTCTCGCGTCTGCTCCCTTTTGGCGCCTCCTCGTGGGAAGGCCACCATGGGAGCACCTGAACTCGGCCCCTCTCCCTGCGCCCTGCGGACTCTCGCCCTGCCCGGGCGCCTCTGTACCCTGCAGGCTCCACTGACCTCACATACCTACTCTAAGTTAACACCTGTAACGGTGTGCGTGTGCGTGTGCGTGTGTGTGTGCACTGCATTCAGTGATGTGTTGGTAAATGTTTAACAACTGTCCTGAGAGGGGTGGGGCGAGCCCTCCTTTGTCACCTTTGCTAATCTCTGTGGTGTAAACACTCCCATGTCAGGTCAGGAGTTGGGAAAAGATGTGTGCAGAGAGACTCATGCAACTGGCGCCTGGGAGCCAGAACAAGTCAGGCCGAGTGAACCATTGTGCGTGAACGCAGGTGTGATCGAGCATCCTTTCTTTTTTTTTTTTTTTTTTTTAAAGATTTTTATTGGGGAATTGGGGGTATGGAACAGTGCTGGGGAATTGGGGGAAGGGGAACAGACAAGTTGCTGTCGTTTTGTTCTTCAGTCTAGTTGTGGAGGACGTTGCTTCACTGGCCCAAGTTGGCACCATCATTGCGCTCTTCCCAGGCGAGGCACATCAGTCGCTGGCTACTGGACGGCCGCTCACTGCGGCTGCTGGCCGCTCACGCTGGCTGCTGGCTACATACAGTAGCCCATGGCAACCCACTGACACAGGGTCTTCAGCCTACGCCGTCGCCGGCGACTCACAGCAGCCCAGCTCCAGGTTGAGCTGTTGTTCAGCATCTTAGCTGTGGAGGGCAGTGTCACTGGCCCTCATATGTGGGATCCGAACCGGGGCCCTCTGGCATCCCAAGCCAGTTCTTAACCATCGCGCCACTCGGCCGGCCCCTCGAGCATCCTTTCTTAAAGCCACATCCTCACGGAGGACCCATCAGTTTTCTCCAATCGTGGGTCAATTGTTTCTGCATTGCAATCTCTTCAGTTCCCCGTTTCTCTTTCTTTTGAGTGGATTTAGAAGCCAAAGATGCCTGTGAAGCAATCATAATGCAGGATACTTTTAATTTTTGCCATGTCCCCTCCTTTACATTTACCTTTCTTATAACAAAAAAGGAGGATGTATCCTCATATGTTCACCGCAGCATTAATCCAACAGTCAAAAGCTGGATGCAAACCAAGGGACCGATGATGAATGGATGGATAAGCAAAATGTGGTCCACGATACAACGGACTATTACCCAGCCTTACAAAGGAAGGAAGGAAGGAAGGAAGGAAGGAAGGAAGGAAGGAAGGAAGGAAGGAAGGAAGGAAGGAAGGAAGGAAGGAAAGAAATTCTGACACCTGCTACAACATGGCTGAACCTTGTGGACATTATGCTACGTGAAAGACAAGTCCTGTGTGATTCCACTTAGATGAGGTATCAAGGTCAAGTACATGGGGACAGTAAGTAGAATGGCAATTGCCAGGGTCGGGGGGAAGGAGGATGAAGGAGTTTTGTTCAATGGTCCAGAGTTTCAGTTTTGCAAAACAAAAGCAGTTCTAGAGATTGGTTGCACAGCAATGTGAATGCACTTTACTGCACCGAACACTAAAAATTAATAAGATGGTAAGTTGTGTTGTATGCTAAGCGTATTTTGCAACAATTTAAATTTCTTTTTAAATTTTATAAAAGGGGGATATTCAGAGAACCAAACTAAACTTTGGATGCTAAAAGTACAATAGCTGAAACTGCAGATTTCTAAGAAACACTTAAATCACCTGACTTCACAGTTAGCAAATGCTGAAGCCGCAATGGAAGCCAGCGTGTCCCTAGAACCCACACTGTCAGCCACTTACACGTCCTTAGATGAGGCTGGGTCACGAGGCTGCCCGGAAAAATGAGGATTTGGAAAACTAGAAGTGCAGACTTTGCACCACAGAAGATGCAAACTGGCATAGACGGCATTATAAAAAGCTTGGGATGGAGGTCTCCAGTTGTCAGAAAGATTCTGAGAAGGGACCCACCGCAAGCCATGTCAACTTCAAACGTCTTCCAATTTCTCCAGCTCATGCTTAGATTCATCAGGTCAGGTCTCTGCATTTTAGTGTAGAAACCACGGCCCCAGGATGGGCAGGGAGAGAGTCACATTGGGGGTGACGTGAACTTCACAGCCATCAAGTCCAATAGGCTGGCTTTCCAGAACAGGAAATACCAGACCAGGAGTGGCGTGTCCCGACCAGGCAGGATGGGGCTGGAGCTCACCTTCTCCGGCCAGCACACACCTCTGACTTCTGCGTGGTTTGGAAAGGTTTCTTGGAAAGGCTGGCAGTGTGGTGCCAAAGGCAGTGAGCAGAGAGAAGAATCGGAAGGCAGAAAACTGCCCGCTAAGGCTTCAATAGTTCTTTGAACTTTTTCTCCAAATTTGGATTCTTTGACCTTCTCAAAGGCCTGGGGAAATGACACACTGACACGAAACATGTGCCTGGTGGGTTCCATCTGCCCGGAGGGAATTAAATACAACATGAAATCACAATCACAACACCACCAGGTCAGAAGCATGCGAGCTGTGCTCACCTGTGCTCACCTGTGACAGATCGTAGCCCCCCTCTACCCAGCACATCTGAGACGAGGTCGAATAGGCTAGTGCTGGTCTAAAGCTTCTCAAAACAAATCGGGAAGGTAAGTATTCGTGTTAGTTTTAGAAAACTAAAGGGAATGTAAACTGCCTTTTAACGCGTGTGCCAAGAGACACTCAAGGCACGTTAAGCCATTTACTAATTTCCCACGAGCGCCTAAAAGGCAGAAGCGAAAGCCCTTGTAGATCTTTCTGAATTTATTTTTTGTTCTTCTCTCTGTATTCCAGTCATGCTTCTCCTGCAAAGTTCAGCCCTTTCCAACTTGTGGGCTTCAGCCAGGCCCCAAGACAGTGAGAATTCACATGACAGCAACACTTCTTACTTGTGATTTTACTGCAGTTGGTATGGAACTCTTAAGACCCCTGGAGTACCAACATTCACAGCTCAGCAGAATATAGACGAGAGAGTGAGAGCTGGAGAGATGAGTTCACTGATATTTTGTTTTTTTACCAAAAAGAAAGTAAAAGCTCCTCTCTATCTAAAGTTCCATGTCATCTCAGTTCCTCAGTGTGTCTCATTTGCCTTTCCCCTGAGGCTCCTGGCCCGTCCTTCCTGAATCAGATGCCCCTCCAGCCCAGGAAGGCTGCCACTGGCTCCAGCTGGCACTGCCCCAAATTGGCCAGCTGGGGCAGCCTGGCACTCCACCTGTCCTCAGCCCTGCCAGCCCTGGAGATGCCACATGGAGACACAGATGCCCAGGGTCTCCCTCTCTGCATGAGCTCCTTCCACAGGGAACAGGCCAGCCGCCCCGCAGTGTCTGTGGACCTGCCCTGTGGGTGCCAAGACTCACCCAGGCTGCTTCCCGGGCTTCTCTGGACTCTGACACCTTCCCCTGCACCTCTCTGTTGCCCCTGGATGGTGAGGACGTCCAGAATGTGCGGTGTGCCTTAAGCTTGCCACACTGACCATCAGAGCATGTGCACGTGGCTTTGGAGATGGGGTCCAGGCGTCAGATCTCAGGTTGTCATCGCTGAGGCAACCTGGGGATCCTCACTTCCAATGGTTTCGGTATTGTCCTCCGTGGGAACCTGTGACAGGATGGGCAAAGCAGAGGTTGCTGGGCTGAACAGGAATGGACACTCAGGCCCTTCCAACTCTCCTTCCTTCCAGCGGCCCCAAGTCACCTCCACAGGGCACAGTTTGGCACCACAGAGCTAACCAAACCTTTCTGTCTTATGCGTGAGAAGACGGGCTTATGAAGAAGAAAGACTTACCCAGGAGACTCACGCTGGCGTGGGCCCAGGCTTGTCTCCAGTGGGTTTCTTAACTCCATGGTCTTATCCTTTCTGCCACCCTCCCTCACCCAGAAGACATTAGCAGGAGCGGCCTCTCCCTAGGTCACCTGCTATGCTGCCCCCTTTGGGTCACTGTGTTCTTCTTGACCCCAGCTGCCTCTCACCCAGCTGCTTTTTAGTGTGTGTGAATTTTCATTCAGATGCAGAGCACGGTCCATTTGCTAAGGGACATGTCCGTAAGTGACCAATTCCGGGATGGCCCTGCGTTCCTTACAGCCAATTAGGAGGAAATTATCACTGGAAAGTGCTCCTACCCACGGCCCTGGGACAGAAGCCAACGTGTAACATGAAGTCTTACCTCACCAGGCTCAGCAGACGGCGAACAGGTTTAAATCCAATTCAATAAAATATTTGATGTAGAGACTGAAGCTTTAGGACCATAAATTCCCGTTAGCGGACCGGAAAGAGGTTGCTCCACATACATCACTCACATCCTTCCTCCTCCATTACCGACAGCACTAGGTGTTGGGAAACATAGGGGGTTTTTTGAAGACACACCAACTTGTGTTCAAATCCAAGCTCCGTCACTTTTAAAGCGTGTGACCTCAAGGTCATTCATTCTCGTGTATCTAAAATAGAGACAACAATACATCCCCGCAGGGTTGTTGGAATTCAAATCGTGAAAACTTGTACAGCATCTACCTGGCACATAGTAACTACTCAATAAACAGTACCTACTATTACTGTGCCAGCAATTTCTACGTCTGCTTAATATTTATTAAGACAAATATGTACTGTTGCAGCTAGCAAGTAAGTATGCCTGCCATGTATATTCCAAACATTTTGCTACATCTTAGGCAGGTCCCAAAGAACTGCTAAAAGTAGCCTTTGCCATCAAAATAACTCACAGGGTAGGTGAAGAGAAAAATTAATAGATATTCTAAGACTAAAATAATTTCAAATGGCTTAAAAATAAAAGCAAACAGTGAAATCACAAGCCAGAAGAAAAATAGGATATAAAAAAATGAAATGTATCTTGGAATGGGGAAAAACTTTCAAAGCAAAATAAGAAAGGCAGGAACGCAAAAAAATGGTTCTAACAGCCTTATTCGTAATCGTCAAAGCTGGGAAGCAACCAAGATGCCCCCCAGTAGGTGCTGGATAGAATGTGATCCATCCAGACCATGGAGTATTGTTATTCAGTGCTACAAGGAAATCAGCTATCAAGCCATAGGAAGACGTGGAGGAAACTTAAACGCTTATTCCTAAGTGAAAGGAGCCAATCTGAAAAGGCTACATGGTGTGTGATTCCAACTGTATGACCTTCTGGAAAAGGCAATACTATGGAGACAGTCAACAGATCCGTGGTTGCCAGGGGACGGGAAGAGGGGGGTGAACAGGTGGAGCACAGAGGACTGATGCTTAGGCCAGCGAAGCTGTCCGATACGGCACTATGGCGGTGAGGACCCGTCATTATACATTTGACCAGATGTGACAACACCAGGAGAGGACAGGGACACATGAGGAGGTGGAGGGGAGCCCAGGGCCAGCCACCTCACCTATGCAAATACCTGCAAGTCTCCAGAAGTTTAAAAGTACAAACATTTAAATCTTTGTGACATCCGTGTATGCAGAGGTGCTGAGAAAGCCTGCGTCCGACTGACTAACACAGTGGGCGTTTCCCATGGAAGTCGGCCTCAGGTGAAGGCAGAGTGAGAGCCCACGGGTGCCATTTGACTTAACAGATTAGAGCAAGAGCTTTCCAAACGGACCGATGCCTCACCTCAAGAAATGACACTCTGGGCCGGCCAAGTGGCTCAGTTGGTTAAGAGTTGGCTTAAGAGTGCAGCTCTGAGCAACAGGTTCGCCAGTTTGATTCCCACATGGGCCAGTGATGCTGCGCCTGAGCTGAGCTGTCGCTGAGCTGCCAACAGGTGGCAGGATGGCTCAGCTGGTGTAACAACAAGATTGCCTGTTCAGTGGTGGGCTACGCCCACCTGCAACTAAGACTGAACTCGGCACCTTGAGCTGAGCTGCTGCTCGGATGGCTCAGTGGATAGAGCGTGTGCTCTTAACAACAAGGCTGCTGGTTCAACTCCCGCATGGGATGGTGGCTACGCCCACCCACAACTAAGACTGAACACAGCACCTTGAGCTTAGAGGCCACAAGCTGCTGACAGGCAGCCAGATGGCAACTGGTGCCTTCCCCAACACAGATTCAAGGACAACTTGTCTGTTCCCCTCCCCCAATTCCCCCCAAAAATCTTTAAAAAAACAAGAAAAAGAAAAAGAGAAATGACACTCATTTGGATGGGACGTGGAGGCTGGGAGGGAACTTCCGAGCCCCGTGTAAGAGGCGGTGGACTGTGGAGCCTCAAGCCTGGCTGTGGATTCAGGCTGTGGATGGGGCTTGGGTGGAAACGCCACCCCATCCGAGGCAAGAGCCACTTCACCTGCCTGATCAGTAAAATGAGCGGGGATAATAGTATTACCTACCTCATAGGGTTGTCCAGAGAACTAAACGAGTTAATGTTTACAAAGTGCTTAGAACCACAACTAGCAGGAAACACAGGCAGTAGAATTATCACTTATATAAAAAAATGTTTTACCTGCTCCTTTACAGACGAGAGAACAGCAGACCACAGAGGTGCAATGATTCCCCAAGTGCGTTTAGCTAGTGAGTGACCCTGTTCTCCAGGTCCTTCACCCACCGCGAACGTGTCCTTGGGAGCAAACAGGATCCCACAGAGCATCAGAGCGTCTGCAGACTCAGCAACACCCGCACCGTCCCACCCCACGCCCTCACAGCCTGACCCAGAGCTCACGTCCCCCTTCAGGAGTATAATCAGACTGCACACAGGGAGCCGGCCAGGTCTCTAGAATTTCAGCACTTTAGCATTATCAAATGCCATTTAACTTGCCATTTCCTCCTGAAAGAAGAAATAAAGGGGAAAGAAAGGGAGGGAGGCAGGGAGGAAGGGAAATCTCTCCAACTACTTTGCAGTCTTGTTGTCACTATAAAATGAGATAATATATTTTAAATGTTAAAGCGTGCTGCATAAATGTCAAGTAGGGGAAAATGGATCCCATAGTGCTGACTTCCAATGAGCACTTATGAATGCTATTAATTAAACAGGCTCGTGTGACTTCCTGACATTGAACTGCGCTCTAGGTAATTCATGCGGATGGACCCAGAGGACCTGAGATCTTCTGGGAAATATGATAAAAATGCGTGATATCTGCCAGGAAGACTTTGTTCTGTGGAGAGAGACTACTTTGAGCCAAAAGCAGGCTGGGGGGGCGCAGGTCTTTGAGGAGAGGCAGGAAGTGGGTCCTACAGAGGGGCACGCACCGCCGGCCACTTCCGGGCCTTCGCTGAGGGCAGCTCTTCTAATGTGTGTAACTGCTGTTCATCCCACTGGGCTTCCCGGTCTCCAGCAAATGCATCTCACATTCGGAACACAGAGTTGGTTCTGTAAAGGAAACCTTTCAGAGGCTGTAAATCATCTGTGCCTGAATCACTTTCCATGGCCTGCTACTTCCCGGCTCCTCTCACGGTTGTGGCAGTTACCTCCACATGCCTGTTAGTCGGCACTGACACCCCAGATTTACTGCACTTACTGGTCCTCGCCTCTCCCACCCCCAACAAGGGGATACAGAACCCTGGAGTCCCAGGCTCACCTGCTCCCTAGCTGACACTGCCCCACTGGCTTCCTTATACACACTGTTTCCTCCTATCACCTCAGGGCCTTTGCACGAGCACTTGTCTCTGCCTAGACCCACCCTCTCTTGATGACCACACGGATGCCTTCCACAGATCCTCCAAATGCTCAAATATCTCTTTAGGCAAAGGTGCCTTCACATACCGCCCAATTTAAAATCGCAACTCTTTCCCCAACCCAATCCTCCCCATTCCCCTTACATGCTTTAATTTTCTCCATAGAACTAACACCCACTGATATGGTTTATTTAATATGCATCTCTCTCCTCCAGAGGGGAGGGGTTGTGTCCATGTTTATCTGAGAGATGTGTGCTCAGGACAGCTCCTAAAGTAACTGGCCCTTAGAAGATACTCTAAATGCATGAAAAGACTCTAACTAGGAAACGGAATTTTTTCTCCTAGGAAGGCCCAGGAGAGCACGGGAAGAGCAATGATCTACAGTCAGAAGGCAGAGTCCAGACTCCGCTCCTCATTCGCGGGAGACGTTCAGTGACATTACATCACCTCTCCTACCTCCCCTGCAGAGTGGTCTGAAGTCTTGCGCAATCCTACATGGGATGAGCTGAGATGGCTTATACTGGGCCCCTGTGTAAATAATAAAGAGCTCTACAAATGCAATGTTAAACAAACCCAGATTTTTGTTTTCTTAGTTCTCATTTTTGTTTTATTTATTTAGCTAGAGCCCTCCTGTCACTGGGATAGGCTCTGCTGTTACGTGAGGCATTGTAGCACATAGGTCAGGAGCCTTCGGCAGCTCCAGATCAGAACATGGGCTGATTCCACCAGTCGCTTGGCCTTGCCCTGGTTAGGCAGCTTCCAAACAGACACAACAGCAGTAGT